GCGCATTGTTGGTCCACCGCTATTTTGAGTAAGTAAAACAGGCTGTGCAATAGACCAGCTGAAAGCAGGCCTAAAGTCCAGCGCAGAGGGCGTTAGCGTGTGTACACACAGGATGTACAGCAATGTGCAAATATCTTTACAAATGAAAAATAATTAAGGAATAAAATATTACAAAAATTGTTACTTTCTACATGAATATAAAAACCACTGCCTTCATGCCTTCTTTACCTCAGGGGGCTATTTTTAGTTTATTTATGACAACTTGCTTTTGTATAATGTTATTCCTATTATTGTTATTTATTATATGCATATTTATATTTTCATTCGTTCATTACTTTTCTTTTCGGCTTAGTCCCTTTATTAATCCGGGGATGCAACAGCAGACTTTCATGCAAGAGGGCACAGGTGTCGATTGTAAATGACGTCACTTGCAGAGGAAGCGCGGTTGCCTGAGAGTGCAAGCGCAAGAGAGCAAGCCTGAAAGTGCAAGTGCAAATCTGCAACCAGTTTCTTATTATGTGTTTGGCTATAACTGAGTTTTCTGACCACACGTCATGATTACTGGTAATTTATATGTTTGCAGGAAAAAAAAAACTGAATTTAGAAATAGTTTTGAAACAAATCTTTGTGCTTAACAAATAAAATAAATATGTAGGCTAATAGATGTCTTCAGTGGAGTGTACAACGCTGTTTTCATATCCACGAAAAAAAAGAGAATGTGAAAGTAAAAGACAACTGGAGGAGGCTCATTCTTCATTCTCGCGCTGCAGATGGTCTGTTTAACTGTTTCTCGCTAGTAAAGCATTCATTTTTTTCACTTACAAAGACCGCCATGTAAATACTGTGCCATGGCGCGACACAACTGACTCTTTAAGGGAATAGGAGATGAGAGATGTTTATTCGCAAAACACACTCATAACTCATTAAGAGAATAAGTACAACCCTGTTAGACCATGCACCAGAGGCAAAGCCTTTTAAATAGCAAAAGTGGATTTTTTATTAGCTTTATTAGTTTTATTTCTGTTGAATCCCAAAGAAGGTATTTTGAAGAAAGCCAAAAACCTGTAATCATTGATGTCTCTAAAGTAGGAAAAACAAATAATAGAAAAGCCAATGGGCACAAGTTTCCAGCTTTCTTCAAAGTATTTTTCTTTTTCCAAGACCTGTGAAGAGATGATGCTAACCATCAAGGGCAACACATACACTTAGGCCCAATCCCAATTCTACCACTTAGCCCTTCCCCTTACCCCTTGTGCCAACTTTCTTTAGTTTGAAGGCGTAGGGCTAAGCAGAAGGGCTCGATAGCCCTCAATTTTTCAGGACCACACTCGAAACCAAGGGATAAGAAAATTTTCCTGAATGCACCAGCCACAATGGTAGCATGGCTGCACACGAAAGTCAGCAGATGCACAAATTTGTATTTTTTGTCATTATCAGGAATTTTTACAACAAACAAGCACATGTTTTAATACATTCATAAAGGCGTTTGTGTTTTACCATCATGCTTTATAAAAAAAAAAAAAAAAAAAACGCTAAAATACTAAAAAAAAAAAAAAAAAAGTCTAGCAGTCTAAAAAAAGTCTAGTGGCTGAGAAGGACCTCATTGCCACATTATATCATTATGATAACATAATATTGTTGCCTTCAGTGATTTCCTGAAGATAAGCACAAAAAAAAAAAAAAAACGCAAGTGGAATAACTACAGCAGTCAGCGTCGATGATCTCATGAAGCAAGAGATCGCTATGACGTGTGCAGGTGTTGTAGTGCAGTCCCATTTCTTAGGGGTAAATTTGAAGCCCTTTCCCATGGTTTCCGCTACATTCATTCTTCCATGGCGGGGCGCCACGGCAAAATTCATCCTGCCACGGCTACATAACAGCTTCTCATTCAAAACATTATATTTTTTTAATAGCGGGTAATAATCGCATCAAAACATATTAAAGAGTAAGTGAATTATAACAGCGCAAACCTTTCTGTAACCGTAGTAGTGCTGTGCGTCATTTGTGTAACCCATCAAGGTGACGACGTATACCCGTTTCATCCCGTTTCACCCGTTTACTTCAGGACGCATTAATACCGTTCTGTAGGTATTGTAGAATTCATAAATATTCCTAATAAATCTAATAAATGTTGGAGACATACTCGTTACATAAACGCACTAAATCGCACTTTGGCAGTGTTTATTTGAGAGCGCGCAGATCTTCATGTGAAAGCAGCTTATAGTTGAGGGGGCGTGCAAGAAGTTTTGTGCACGAGCAGAGAAAATCTGCGCGCAAGCAAAGAATCCGCATGCTCGTAGGCTATTACATAAATGCGATCTTGACTTCTAATATTGTGCTCACGATATTTGTCATTTGAATTAACGCAACAGGTAGTTGGTAGATCTGTGTAAAATAAAAAAGGCCTGCCGCCACAGCTGGAAAAATCTTAGAGGAAACAATGCTTTCCCATCAAACTCTGTTTCAAGGGCGAATGGGAAGAGGTGCAAAATAGAATTGGGATTGGGCCTTAATACACTTTATTAAAGATGTACACAAACATCACCTACATTATATGCTATGAGACTGCAGGTTAACTATGTCTGTATAACTAACATTTGATTGTAACTTTAACTTAATTTGATTGTAATGCAATAATGTGCACATTTGTAAAGCTGCTTTGATACAATAATCACTGTAAAAGCAGGTGACGTATAAAATACGGTTTTTGGGTCCAAGTTGCTACTCATTTGAATTAAGAAAAAAATTTGCTTATGACCATGACCATATGATTTTTAGTCATATCACACATTACAGTGAATTTTATATAAAATCATGGTGTACACATCAGTCTCTGGAGTTTCTGCATTACAGACACCAGTATTTGAACAATTTATAAAAAAAATTACCATTTTATAGCCGTCGGATATTAGGCATGGACAGGGCCTGACGTTACCTTTTTTAATCACCAGCCACTGTGGTTAGTACACTCAAAAAAAATTATTATTTTTTGCTTGTTCAAACTACTTTATTAATAAGCTGAATTAATACAATTCTTGAGATTTCATTGGGAGAACTTAATTTTTTATGTTCACTCCACATAAATTTATTAAAAGTGTTAAGTTAACTTAATTGATTTGTGTTGGGACAGCATGAATGAATTTTGTGGAACCCTGCATTTTTTACAGTGTAGACTTAAAACATCACAAATTTTGTAGTTGGGAAAGTATATTTACAGTAATATGCATAAATGTGACTTTGGCAAATTACATGATTTCGATTTTGTGTTATGTCCAACATCATTTCCCTTTTTGTGTGTGTTGTGTATGAGCTGCTCAATGTGCATAAGCATTTAGGTTGCATCTCATTGCAAGTTTTTATTTCACATGACTTTTCAGCGCTCAAAATTAAGATTTTACCAAATTTATCTCTGACCACACCAAAAAATAAAAAATAATTTATAGCCACAAAATTTAAATGCGTCAAAACAAGCAAAATATAGCAGTAAAATATTGCATGCTCTTTTAACTCAACAAAACTTTTCTTTAAAAACAAATTAACATTTAAAAAACAACCAGTCATGTATCTAAAATATACACATTAATCAATCCTGGGTAAAGGTCTCAGATCACCAGTTATCTACACTAGATGTGAGATTAATCTCATATTAAAGCAATGTTATTGTAAAAAAATAAAAAATAAAAAAATAAATAAATAATTAAACCATATTAAAAAAAAAATAACTCCATTTCAAAGAGAACCGATCGCAGCAGTTACGTTTCCTCTAGGCACGGTTGCTTCGCACAAGTAAACGTGAGCGTGCATGCTTTTAAACGGTCACGCGCATCACATCACCTGTGTGTGTGAGTGATCATCCTCTCATTTGGTATTCACCTGCATTCTTTTGATTGCCCAAACAGTTTTGTCAGTCCTGCTGCTTCTTATTCTTTGATCACATTTGCACGAATATTGGGCCATCCTTATTGACAAACCCTGCTTTTAAGAAAACTATAACTTCAAAATTATTTTCAACCAGCCAAAGTGACTAGTTGTGGTGGGTGTCTAACCCGCCACAGCTGAAATCTACCCTCATTTGGCAGGTCGGTGGGTTTTAATGTCAAGCCCTGGGCATGGATATATACAGTTGAAGTCAGAATTATTAGCCCACCTGAATTATTAGCCCCCTGTTTATTTTTTCCTCAATTTCTGTTTAATGTAGAGAAGGTTTTTTCAACACATTTCTAAACATAATAGTTTTAATAACACATTTCTAATAACTGATATATTTTATCTTTGCCATGATGACAGTAAATAATATTTTACTAGATATTTTTCAAGACACTTCTATACAGATTAAATTGACATTTAAAAGTTTAACTAGGTTAATTAGGTTAACTAGGCAGTTTAGGGTAATTAGTCAAGTTATTGTATAAAGATAGTTTGTTCTGTAAACTTCCGAAAAAAATATAGCTCAAAGAGGCTAATAATTTTGACCTTAAATTGTGTTTAAAAAAATTTAAAACTGCTTTTATTCTAGCCAAAATAAAATAAATAAGACTTTATCCAGAAGAAAAAATATTATCAGACTTACAGTGAAAATTTCTTTGCTCTGTTAAACATCATTTGGGAAATATAAAAAACCAAATAAATAAATAAAAATCAAAGGGAGGCTAATAATTCTGACTTTAACTGTATAAACATTGCGATTGTGATCTTCGAAAGTATTACATCACTTTGTAAATGTTTATTATTAGCATTTGTTGAGTTTCCCTACAGTTTGATAGAGCAATTGGACATGGAAGCTGCTTCGCGTGAGGTCACACTTAACAAGTGTATACAAATAAACTAGAATTGAATTGATTTGAATTGTGTTTAACACAACAAAGAATGCCAAATCAGTTTTAAATACAAGAAGGATGAGTAAATGACAAAATTACATTTTTAATCTAAAGAATGTGGTAAACACTTTTAAACAGTGTTTCCAACACTTCAAATAATCAGAAAGCATGATTTGCTCTTACCTGTTTGCCTGTGCTTTGATTCGTTGAGTTTGCAGATATACTGAGGGATTGGCTTTTTGTTACAGCCGCCCCTGTGGATGCTCTTCTGGGTTGAGTTGCCTTGCTCTTTTCCTCTGCGGTGGGACTGCCATTATCTACAGTTTCATGCTCATCCTGAAGAACCGCATCCCACGGGTCTTTAGCTTTCCCAGACTCCTCAATAAAAGGACAGCTTGAAACAGCAGGTGTCTCCTCGACCTCCACCTCCTTGCGCTTGTTGAGAGGGTCCAAGTCCAGCCATTCAAATCGGCTGATGTTAGGAGGTTCTGAGGGCAGAGGTAGGGGCTCCAGAGACTTGACACTTGCCGATTCGGTTTCCATGCTAGAGGACCTGCCGTTCTTCAAGTATTCCGAAGTGCTGGCAATCTTGTCAAACAGCTTGGCCATCTCTGGGGTGACGGCAGGCTGCGAGTAGACCAGAGCAGCAGGTGGTTGGATGGGAGTAAAGGAGAGAAAGGGGGTCGGTGGAATAAATGGAGACATTGCTGGACTAAAGCCATTCTGGAAAGAGCAAGGAGGCTTGGCGAATGGAGCAGAGGGGAAGATGGGAGTCTGTGCATGCGTTGGAGTGGGTGTCCAGTGGAACGAAGAGGGGTTGAAGGCATGTCCGCCAGGATATGATGCGCTGAGATTGCAACCTAGCAAAGAGGAAGGTCTTGTCATTTTGTTTGCACCAAAACTGTCATCCAGAAGCAGCTTTTCCAGCTCCTCCTTTGTCAGGTTCTCCAAATCGATGTCCTCAAAGTTGTCTTTTTGCTCCTTCTTCTGTGTTTCTGATTCGCAGAATACAATAAGGTCTTTCTCTGGCCGGCTGCTGGATGTTTGCGCTGTTGGATTGGGAAGGGGATTAACAGAAGAGGCTGTGACTGGGAGTGTGTGCCTTTTCTCGCGCTTAATTTTATCGAAGGCCTCTACCTCCATGCGTAAAGCCTCTTCCTTCCCCACAATTCCTTTTGGCCGGACCACCCCCGGAGAGGCTGGCCTGTCAAACTTAAACCCATTGCCACTGGATATGTGGGCCATGGTGTCAGCTCTGCCTTGCGATGTACATGAGGAGACCACTGGGTTCTGATGGGAACTTTACAACAGGTGCCTATGAGAGAAAATTGAGAGAACATTACACTTCAGTTTCAAAAAGCAAAAGATGCATTGCATGGTCTGTGCCAATTATAATGCACTGGTAAAGCTACTTTTAATGGCAGTAGTCAATAGACTCTATACTGTGTCGCTCTGGGCTATTTTTAACAATCAATTATCCTGTTCACAATAGTGTGGACACAAATATGAGCCATCACTCACGGTAATGGACTTAGTCCATTATGCAGCAACACTAGCACAGCATTTTGTCCCAAATCAAACAAATGAATCTTTTTCGACATGAGATTAATACAACCACACATTTTCCATTAGGCAAAAGCTGATTCTGCAACTACTCAGACTTGAATAAAAGATGAGGATCAAAGGAGATCTTCCATACTGCAATCTGATGATCATAAGATTGGGATTTCTGACAAAAGCATCCTTAAAATTTTGGAAATGAAAAACAAATCCATTATGGAAACAAAACATCATCAGGAAATTATAATTTAGCTTAAGCGACTAGCGAGGGTGCGTCAAACTCTGGTTTTAATGGATGAATGGCAGGCACTTACAAGCACATACCAGACATTTCCTTGTGCCCTGCAGGCCAGAGACATGCCAGCTTGCAATTAAAACAGAACCAATTAGGTGCAAACTCAAGACTCAAAACTTTCATTCCTTGTTCAAATCTTCACTGATTATGTGCTAAAACACAAATAAAATCGGGCAGGATTTACATTGTGTGTGACAGTGATGATTTGTGGAGTGACAGAAATAAAAACAGATGTGTTTCTGAGAATCGAGACAAGAAAGAATTTGTTATTTAGCGATGTTATGCAAAATGTAATACAACGGGTTGTTGATGTATAAAATAATAAATCTTTTAATATTTAATGTATTAATGAATAGTTCAGCTCATATATATTTGCAATAATGAAAGTGTTATAATTTATTGGGGAAAAAAGATTGTTTTAAGCAATATGTTCTTTTACAAAATATTAAAGAACTGGCATCACTTTCATAGCAATACTTATGCAATGAGGTCAAAAGTGTGTTTACAGAGTGTTTTACAACATCTCTAAACACAATTCAGCCAATCATAAACAGTTCATTTTATAATAACGAACTTAACTGATATACGATTGCATGTAAACATTTATTAGGACACTATGGTTTCTGTCATGTGGAAATGAAAGAGTCACAGAATACCTTCATAAAGACAATATTTGAATATGAAGTAGCATACGTGTCCATGTGAATGAGCTTCCTTATTTACTGCTTGCTTTAAGAAATACTACAGCCAAATTACCCCCTCTTGTCTCCCCAACTTCAGCACACGACAATTCCAAACATTATTAATTCTGAGTGCGTTACACAGGTGAGCGGGCTTGAAACCACCTGTAGAAAAAACACACTTTCATCTCTCTGACACTTTAACCGAGACGTGCACCAGGTTTTAATCACTCCATATGTAAAAAAAAAAAACATTTGGAAGTGTGCTTTACACAGGTGAGTGGGCTTGGCAAACCACCTGTAGTTAAAAAAAAACTTCCCTTTCTAGCTCAAGCACTAAATTCTCTGAGTACAAACAGTCCCTTAGTATTTACTGTATACTTCTTATGTGTATTGCCTCTTCATGTTCAATCACTGCACGCCTCCTCAATTGAAAAAAATCTCCATAACAACCTGTCCAAATAAAAGTGTCAATTATTTTGATCAAATTATGACCAAAAATTAAATGTGTTCCTAAAACTGTAATTTTAACACTATATTAATTATAATAATAGCCAATAAAACTAGTAATACTTCTTATATAAATCAATAACAGTTATATGAAATCTAGAATAAAATAAAGCATATTTAATTGGACCTTAATCTGGCAACTTTAAATGCTGTTGATACAATATGAATTTATTTATATTTATATTTATTTATATAACTGTCCATTGATTAATATTAGCAGATGTGATATAATAATAATAAATAAATTTCTGCATGATTGCTCGACTAATAGGTTGAATATCATTGGTAAACATGTAGTAATATAACTTGAGTATGGTATTTAATTATTTATAAAATAGATATTTATTGCATTTCCTGCTATAATAATAAAATCCTTATTTACCATACACTGTAAAAATCACTCATAAAGCAATAAAAGATTTGGGTTATACAGTCCAGCCCAAACACAGATATTCCAAGAACAACATACCACACACAAAGTCAAACTACATTGGAAATTGGTCAATCTGCTTCCCAAAGACATTCGTGCTGCCAAGTCTGACCATCAATACACTGCTGAGGTCATTGTGCACAGTGAGGAATTTAGCATGCAAGCCAGAGGGGTTGGTCTCCTCAGAACATTGTTCACAGTAGAGACCAGGCATGTTTTATCAGTATGGCATCCAATAAGATGATCATATTTCTCATTTTATGAATTTTTACAACTTCAGGCCAAATGTTTGAGTATAAAGAATGTAGAAATATATATATATATATATATATATATATATATATATATATTGCTAAATTAAAAAAAATTTAATTACAAATTATTTTAAAAAAATAGTATTACTGTAAGCAATATATTTTTGATACAATGAAATAAACAAGAGAGAATAATAGGGCTACATGATATTGTAAAATTCTAATATTGCTATATTTAATTTTTGTGCAATAAATATTGCAATATGAATACTGTTTCAGAAGATGGTTTGAATAGCTCTATTTGATGGTTTTCTGGGGAATCTAGCAGTATTCGGTTACATAAATTGAATAATCACAATGCAAAAAAAAAAAAAAATCCTTTTCTTATTTTGTTTTGTCTTGTTTCTAGTAGGCATGGGACAATAACTGTTTTCAAGGTATATTACCACGGTTTGGAAAAGTCAAGGTTTTAAAACCACCCAAATTTTCTGCTATACCGTTCCTAAGTTATGTGTAAGATTTTTTTATTTATGTTTTTTTTGTTTGTTTTTGTGGACAACAATATCTCCAGCAGAAAAGATATCCAAAGTTTCATTTGAACTAATTAGCCAGACTATTACTGGTCCAAAATATTTTAAATGTTTCTCAAATAAAAATATATGGTTTAAAGGGGGGAAAAATGTTTACAAGTCTAAAATTTATTCTTTTTAAGTCACAAGTAATCAAAATACAGTAAAACCATGATATTTTTATCCAAGGTTATCATACTGTAAGAACCCATACCAGCCCATAGTTTCTAGTCCAAATATCAGAAAAATTCTTAGTCCAAGTAAAAACTTTGTCAGAAGAAAAAAAAAAAAAAGTAAAAATTAAGAGATTTTGCTTGTTTTAAGGAAATTATCTGCCAGTGATGTATGAGAAATAATTTTGTTTCATCTTTGAAAGAAGGTATTTGGACTAGAAATAAGACAAAAATTCTAAGTACGAAATATTTTTGCATAAATTATATAAAGTCCATATAAATACCGTGATTAAATACAATTCATTTTAAATGTAGCTCCTGGTCACCTATAATTCTGACTGGACAGTGCATATCTTTGCGATGTGACTATTGCAAATGAGCACATTGCAATATTGATGGCAAAACTATTTTGTGCAGCCCTAGAGTATTTGTAATGGTAGACACTTTATTTTGTTGATCTGTTTTTCTTTTGTAACCCTTTAACTTCCTCTAAAAAAAAGAAAAAAAAACATTTTCTTTGGTTAAATTGTGATCATGACACCACTCATTCTTTAGTTTTATGTTTTAATGAAATCCTATGAACAAAAGGTGCCATGTTAAAGGATTAAGATGATTATAACAGATCAAATGGTTGAAAGATGTGGAGTGTAACACCTAGTCACTCATTCTATGTTTTTTCATATTAGAAGTATAAAAATGACAAACCTTTGCAGTTAAAATCTCATGGGAACGGTTCTCAACCCCAAGGCCAAATGCCTGACTGCACACTTGAAATAATGACAAACATCACTTATCTGTGCATTCAAAAACCCGGGGAAGAACTTTTTACGTGTTGTGCTGTCAAACCATATCTGAAGTAAACAAATATGTTTTTGTACTTCACAATAAAATGATTCATCAAGCTTCTGTGCAACTGTTCAAAGTACAGAAGTCACGCTCTAGACACAAATGAATAACTAGATATAATGCATATGGCTTTCAAATAACACAGTGCATCACTTTTAAGCACTAAACAGAATGCACAATTCGAGAAAAAAAACTGTGTTGTTGGTTTCTGATGCTTTTCTAAGCACTTGCAAAACATGTCAAGAGAAGACAAACTGTTCCCAAGATGGTAACAATGATCAGAGGGGAAAATGAATGAGAAATTACAGAAACACACCACTCGTATTATGTCAAACCTGTCATTACTCATGTCCTGTTTACAATAAACATAATATAGTGAGTTTACGTGACAGAAAACAATTGGAGGACAGAGGTTTCATCCAGCTAGCATACCCAAGGCACATGATTCATGCATATTACTACAATGACGCAACATTGCAGGAAAAAAACTATTACATGCCATCATTTTCGAGGGAAGTTATCCAAAAACAAGCCATACTTGCTGAATCAACACATTTTGCAATTTCAGTTGTCTGGCAAAAGTTAAAAACAAGACAAAACCTGCTACTCTAGTCAGCGACCACAATTAAACTGACTCAAAAGACACACATAAGAGCTTTTATCCCAATGAAAAGCATGCCAATATTGAAATTATTACACATAACATCAACTATGCTATTTCAGCTTTGAAGAAAGAAAATATGCTTTAATAAAAGACCACAATATACAGTGCTCAGCATATACGAGTAGTAGTACACCCCACACAAATCAATATTTTAAACGAGTATCTTCTATAGGAAGCTATACAATATTGTATGCATACAGTATACATTAGATTAGTCAGATCTAAAGCCAAATCCAACAAAATAATTTACAATAACGGTCCAAAAATGTACATATCAGGGAAAAATATTAATCAAAAATGTAAAAAAAAAAAAAAAAAAAAAAGTAAAATTCAAGTGAAACAAAAAAAAATTATAGAATTCTTATAGTTTGTGATTGCAATAGTTTGCCTGGATTAAAATGTATCATCTTTCTATTTCTAAATATGTTTGGTGATGGTTTGGTGGTTTAATAAATATAGCTTGCTAATAAATCTGTTTTGTTCAAATGCATCATAATATATGACCTATATTAATTTGAAAATGGATAAAAATATTTATTTACAAAATTGGATGGTACAAATTTATGTTGAGCACAGTATATGTGCAAAAAAATGCACTAAACATTCTTGCATAAATAGTTAGAATTAAATTTTTATTTCAATACAGCGAATGGCTCACTACTGACAATATTTGTATTAGAATTAATAATAAATCCTACTTTATACAGAAGAGTTACAGGCTTCACACTGTTGCGAAAGGGGTTAGTGAAGGTGCAGCAGGAACTTGAGTTTCTTCATTTACTTTCATTAACTTGTTTTGAAATGTTGCATTGAGTAACGTTACTGTTAATGAGGCATTAGTTGAAATGCTCGATTAAAATTGCCAAAACAGAAATGCAACAAAAACGTACCTTAATAGCTACTCACTAATAAATAAAGGCAAATGCGGTTTAAAAGGCATTTAAGAGAAATAAAAGTTGATTTACAAAATGCAGTAAAATATAGATAACTTAGCCAAAGAAGCCAAGTTACCACAACCCCATCTTTTAATCTGCCAATATTAACATTTCTTCACAAATACTGGTGTCAGCTCAAACAATAATCTCAAAAGACATCCCAGAAGACAAAGTCTCAACACTTACGCGAAATATCTCCCGTAAAAAGTTGTTTTCGAAACTTTTAGGCACTGTTTGTGCAAATGTTTCGGCATTTCGGCGCACTGAACGCGCCAACAAAAAGTGAAAACCCAAGCCGAAGAAAAACAAACAGAAGAACTACTCAGACAAACACAACATACTGTACTTCCGGTACACGGACGAGCAGAGCCGATGGATAAACTTAACCGCGTAGAAAGAGTTTGCGTGTGAATAAAGTACGATTCCCACCTTCAGACTCTCCGATCTTTGACGCTGGACATTTTCCTCCAGCTGGAAAATTTGCTCATGTAGTCGTAGACGCAAACGTCAGTTCCTGCTGAAGATCAGAGATGAAAGATCACGAAGAAACAGCGACACCTAGAGGCCAGAAAAGTCATGACGGTTCTTTGGTTTCTGAACTAAACTGTGTAAACTACAATAGAGCGTCGATGCCATCTGCTGTTAAAAATGTTTAGGGTTTAAACGTTTAAACTTGTAGGCTACGCATGCTTGCGTGCTCCTCCATCCGAGCAATTCTGCCATTTTGAGCATTTTGCACTTTTTTAATAGTAAAAACTTTGGATGAAAACAGCATCAGGAGGTTTTATTACACTTTTATTACACTGAAGCATATGCTACAGCCCTCATAGATCTCTCTTTTAAAATAATGTTTTTAAAAGAAAAGCTTTTAAAAACATTACATGATGCTTTTCTACAGGATGCTTTACATTAATATATTTCTGCAAATAGATTAGATTAGTCACAGTTCACAGTTCATAGATTAGGCCTACACCTTCTTGCTGTGCGACAGTACTTCCTACTGCGCCACTGCTTCGCCCAGGGGGAATTAATACAAATTTAATAAACAAAACAATAATGAGAACTATAAAAATATAAAATTTTTGTAGTTGTATTTTTTAATAACTAGCGTAATTAGATTTTAAATACATTATGTTTCCTACAGATGTTCGGAGATTAAACTCTTATTTTATTTCTATTAATAAAAAAATATATAATAAATAAATAAATAAATAAATAAACAAACAAACATATATATATATATATATATAAGGAGGGTGTATTAATTTATGCTTAGTACTGTACTAAGATATATAATAAGATATATAATAAGCTATATTTTTTTCAAGTCTACAGAACAAGCCATCATTATATAATAACTTGCCTAATTACCCTAACCTGCCTAGTTAACCTAATTAACCTAGTTAAGCCTTTAAATGTCACTTTAAGCTGTATAAAAGTGTCTTGAAAAATATCTAGTAAAATATCATTTACTGTCATCATGGCAAAAATAAAACAATTTATTTATTAGAAATTAGTTAATAAAACTGTTTAGAAATGAGTTGAAAAAATTTCTCTGTTAAACATAAATAAGGGGGAAAAAGTAACAGGGGGGCTAATAATTAAACTATATTAGCATGTGTGTGCGTGTGTGTGAATAATAGTTTTGATTAAATGAAAGATCATCAAATAAACAAATCAAGATACTGAATTACTGTCATACTCTAAAAAGAATGTTGTAGCCAACTAAGATTTTAAAATACAAATATGATGTTTTTTCATATTTGAATCAATATTTTTCAAAGATTTTTTACAACAGGTAGGCTAGTTTTCTTAAATCTAAACTGCAAAGTTGTCAAAGCAGTATACGTTCAGAATTCTATGAACACACAAAAGCACACTGTAATCCCGAATAAGTTGACAAAACTCAAAAAATTTGAGGTAATCAGTTACGTCAAATTTTTTAAGTTATGAAATTATCTATTTTAAGTAAACAGAAACATTAAGTTTTGAGTTTGTTGTACTCATGCAAGACACTTCACCTAACTTAAAATACCCAAGTTACTCAGCTTATACGTTTTAATTGCAATTAACTTAATTGTTTTAATTTTTCCAAACTTTAAATACTTAGTCACCCAGCTCATACATTTTAATACCAATTAACTTAATTGCTTTAATTTCTTTCAACTTTAAATACTTAAATCACCCAGCTCATACATTTTAATAGCAATTAACTTATTTTGAATTATTTATCTCACCTTTACATACTTAGTCACCCAGCTCATACATTTTGATAGCATTTTTTAAAATTAACTTCTCCATCGTCAGTTTCACAATTAAAATTAGCCATTATTTTAATCTTTAAACCCCATAAATCTGTCAAAATAAATCTGTAATTTAAAACACACAGACAATACCATTTTAGACATTTATTGTTAAAGAAAAAATGTCCAACAGTACTTTCAAATTTGTCTCCTATGCAATTACAAATGTCTTAAAACGATAAAAACTATTAGACATAGAGATTGAAAATGAACACTATTCTGAAATTAATAAAAATTACCCACAATGTGAATATGATATCAGACATAAGAGCCTCAAGAAAAAACAACTATAAGTTTGATAAAATTTAATAATACATTAATAAGTGTAAAACTTACTCTTAAGGCATTCGTTAAAAAAAATAATAAGTGCACATTCTGTGAAGTGACTCGTTTAGTGTAAACTACACAGAAACTGTATGTATATATATATATATATATATATATATATATATATATATATATATATATCGTTGAAGTCAGAATTATTCGCCCCCATTTATTTTTCCCCCAATTTCTGTTTAACGGAGCGCAGATTATATACATATATATATATATATACATATATATATATACATATATATATACATACATATATATATATATATACATATATATATATATATATATACATATACATATACATATACATATATATATATATATATATATATATATATATATATATATATATATATATATAGTAGCGAGGCAGAGGGAAAACAGCGACACAGTTGGATAAGTTTACAGACAAGTCCCCGGAGGGTGCTTTATTTACAACGTGAATGGGGTGTAAACGGTGCTCTTCTTCAAGGTGAGGTGCTCTGGTGCTCCGGGAAGTAAGTGAAGGACAGTGAGTAGTCGGATGTGGGATCATCACGAACTGGAGTCTGCTGTGGAGAGACAGAGAGACAAGCGTTAGCGCATGGAGTCATTGGGTGAATGAAGCTCATCTTCTCTTGCGTGGGCTTGGTTTATATGCCTCTCCACTTGATGACGTCCAGCTGTGAACGATCCTGTGTTGATGATGGTCCAGCTGGGTTGAATTAGCGACCAGGGCGACGTGGCATGTGTGCGCTCGTTACAATATATATATATATATATATATTCAGTCTTGGTTGAACTATGATTCTGTCATTTACTTATTCCAAACCTGTTTGAGTTTCTTTCTTCTGTTGAAAAAAAAAAAAAAGCTGAGACCTGTAACCACCGATTTCCACAGTATTTGTTTTCCTATTAGAAAGTCAGTGGTTACAGGTTGTCAGCTTTACTTAACTTTTGTGTTCAACAGAAGCAAGAAATTCAAGCAGGTTTGGGATAAGTGAAGAGTTAGTAAATGACAGAATTTTACATTTGGACAAACTATCCCTATATATAATAAAATGCATACTTACCAATTAAAGGTAAATAAATGTTTTGAAGTTACTACCCCAGAGACAGTCTTTATTAAGTTAAAAAAAAAAAAAAAGCTCTACATCAACTCATTCTTTAAGGTTTCCATGCTACGAGACTTTTTATTTTCCATCATCCATGCTAAGCAAAACTTTTTGCACAAGTTCAAAGTCCTTTACTATATATTATGTGAAGAGCATACATTAATCCATACAAGACAAGAAAGGTCTGGAAGTGTGCTGTGGGTGGTGTCCAATTCATTCTTCAGGACAACAGAGACCCTCAGTGAATGCAGGGCCAATAAAGCATCTTCAGTCAGCAGGATTATCAATCTAAAAACATAATTCAAGGATATTAATGTAAGGACAGTATCAAAATGACTAAGCCAATATTATATGATTCATCAACTATTCTTGATTACAAATATGTTAAGTAAAAGTTTTCAAAACTTTCATCTTTTCATTAAACATGCCTAATTGTGAAAAGAATGAATGAAGTCTTACCATGGTGTTCCTAAAGAATCTTAAGTCACGCTCACGCAGCAAGACCAAAAGACCTCTGATAACAGTAGTCCGTCATGAACTGACATCATTCAGTTCCTGGAAATCAAGAATCAATTTTTTAAAAATTAAAAAAAAAATAATAATTCAAATTATATTTTAATGTATACTTTAACACGTGACCCCAAAAATACCTGCTCATCATAAACCTTTAAAAGATTAGCCAGGGTATCTGCTGTCTTGCCAGTTTTGGATGCTGTTTGCCTTAAAATTGTCATCAAATGAAATAGGTGGTGGTCCAGTTTTGCAAAGAATTTGTGGGGAAAATTCTCATTTGTAACATGTTGGTACTCTGCAAACAGCAAAAAGAAACAAGAGAGAATTTCATAAAACAAACCCACACCACAAAATATACAATTCTAGAAAAAATGTATTAATATTATTATTATGTTTCATTTACTTATCTATTTTTTACCTCAGATGAAAATCAGGTGTTGATCAGATGTTGAAAGCAGGATCTTCATGTTGTAAACTGAACTCAAGGTCTAGCTGAAGTTTCATTTTCCTTGCTGCAAAAGTATCATTGATAAATACACTGTAATATTTATTTTATCTGGATATGCCAGGCATAGTAGTACAAAATAAATATATTTTACCCACCTTTCACATGCCTCCATTTAAGAACCTATCTGTAGTCAGCAACACCCGACCTTCAATTCTGTATGTACACAAAGTCACAGTGTCATTTAGCTGAGAGTGGAAGTAGTACAATTGCCTGATGTCTAACGTTAACCTCCAAAACGGTTAACAATAGAGCTGATTATCATGTTAGTTGCTTTAATTCGATGAACACAGATTTAAACAGTATTGAAATTTCTAAAACTGAATAGGACGACAAAGAAATTTAAGGCCTGATTTTAAAAGCTAGAAATAACAAAACTTACCTTATTGTCTAATGATGTAAAAATATATAGACTAAAATATTTATATTTTTAAGATATAAATATATTTTAAGCTACAAAATTTGCACATCAGAAAACTGTCTTCTTTACCACGTCTTGAATATTTTGTTTTGTTATTATTTTATTTAATAACATAATTTTGTATTAATGTGTTATAGATATGCATACTTTGTTTTTTAGGCTGTTTATATTCTCTCCAGAGTAGACATTTTAAAAAATAGATTGAAAAAAAAAAAACTTTTATCATACCTTTAAAATACATTTGACCT